CCCTATGGGAGACTTCCCACATCCATTCCATTTGTCTCCTCTATTCTTTCACTTCTGCAAAACACAGGCTCAGATGTTGCAGTATTATTGGCAAAATTATTGGTGGATTGCTAGCACTCATCTCTTAAATCAGAAATGAAGACGATAATCTGTTGCTATGCTTTACCGAATAGTGACAATAGATCAGAATGGTTAACAACTATAGTCATTGGTTATTAGAGAGAATGAGAACAAAAGAAAGGCAATGTGTTCTATCTGGCCTTGTGCTATTTATAGCCGTTGTCCATTAGGGTTCTCATGAGTGCAATTCCTAGCCATGAGTGTGTAGCCTTATAAGTTTCATTCAAGCAATAAGAACAGAGACCGACCCTAAATCATGATGGTAGGAGAAACAAAGCAAAGCAAAGCCCCCCCCCCCCCCCAAAAAAAAAAAAAAAACAGGAAGGGAGGAGAAAATAGGGGAGTCAGCAGTCAGTGGCATTGGAACTAGGAAGTAGGAAATAGGCATCTCAATTCCTTTTAGATAGGAGGGTCTAATTATTATACTAATATTATTGATATGAATAGTTAGAACTTCAAGCTTACTTGCTAAGAGTCATTATGATTGCATTGCACTTGTGTCAGGAGCACTGGGTTGAAAGGATTAGTTGGTAACATCACCGTTGCCCAGGGAACATCCATTTGGGGGGTGGTCCTTTCATATCCCATGAACCATGGTGGTGCAGTTGTTAGAATGCAATACTGCAGGCTACTTCTGCTACTTGCTGGCTGCCTGCAATTTAGCAGTTTGAATTTCACCAGGCTCAAGGTTGACTCAGCCTTCCATCCTTCTGAGGTCGGTAAAATGGGGACCCAGACTGTTGGGGGCAACAGGCTGATTCTAAACCCTTAGAGAGGGCTGTAAAGCAGCATATAAGTGCTGTTGCTATTGCTACTATATCACACACCCACTATAGTAGACAGATTATGTCTCTGCTTGGACCATAGGTCAACCAAGTGGTGCTTTTGAGCAACACCATTGGAAAAGATCTACTCAACAGGGGGAAATTGATTTAAGATAATGCTTAGTAAATACTACTTGAAAGAAGGGGTACCTACAAAATAAAAATGGGGCCATGGTCAACCAATCTAGAATAATGGTGTTTAGTCATAGATAAATAGGTAGGTTCTGATGTAATGTTGGGGAGAAAAACTTTCTAAGTTAACATCAGTTGGATAGTGGAAACCATTTGCTAAAAGAGGTGCTGGGGTCTTCTTTGCTGGTCCAAATCTATCTTTAATTTGGTTCACTACATTATCACTAAAGGGTCAGCAAAGGTTAAATGAATCCGGCCAAACATAGAGTTCTAATTTCAGTTTCTTCAGTCAGAATTGAAGAAGCTTCTTGTATAGAAGCTTCAACATTTTTTACTACTGGTTCTGTGGGCATGACTTGGTGGGCATGGCAGGGGAAGGTTACTGCAAAATCCCATTCCCTAACCTGCTTTCCAGCTCCGCTCTCCTGTGCAGGGCAACAAAATAAGATCCAGACAATCAGCTGGGACGTGGGAGGCAAAGAAGAGATGGGGGCAGGGCCAGTCAGAGGTGGTATTAGCTGGTTCTCCGAACTACTCAAAATTTCTGCTACCAGTTCTCCAGAACTGGTCAGAACCTGCTGAATACCACCTCTGGTCTTGTATGAGAAATGAAATGTTTTGAAGGGGGAACCCCCCCAAGAAATTCCAATTGCCTTTTGGAAAAGCACCTTTGGGACCCCTGCAGCAGTCAAACAAGGTTGTCTTCCTTATGAAACCAATTAACGTTTGCCCGACTGGTTTGACCGGTAATAAATTTGCACCAAACAGAAGAACATTAGATCTGTAGTATTGACTCTGACTAGAAGAGATGGCTGCACTAAGGGCTATGAGTGAATGCATATGCCATGATGAGAATTGATTTGCCACTTTCTTATCCATCAGTTTTGAGAAAACACTAGGTTTCCTGTAGAGAGAAGCTTCATTCACCCTAAGATCCATGGTGCAACTGAAGCGTAAACAGGCTTCTTTTCCTAGAAGTGAAAAGTACAGGTAGTCTTTGAGGTATGGCCACAATTGAGCCCCAAATTTATGTTACTATGTGAAACATTTTTAAGCGTGTTTGCCCCGTTTTAAGACTTTTCTTGCCGCAGCTGTTAAGTGAATCATTGCCTTTGTTAAGTTAGTAACATGGTTGCTAAGTGGATTCCCCAATGACTTTGCTTGTCAGAAGTTCGCAAAAGTGGATTGCGTGACCCCGGGACATTGCCACCGTCGTAAATATGAATCACTTGCCAAGCACCTGACTTTTTATCACGTAACCCTGGGGATGTTGCAATGGTCGTAAGTGTGAAATATGGTCCTAAGTCACTTTTTTTCAGTGCTGTTGTAACTCCAAATGGTCACTAAATGAACTGTTGTAAGCCAAGAACTACCTGTCATGCCCCTGTTGGAATCTGATTCCGAGGGGGAGGTCGAGTTGACAGGGAGTGGGAGTGTGGCTCCAGTGGCTCTGGAAGAAACTGGGGAAGGGCATAGTCTGGCTGGGCAGAGCAGGGAAGAGGTAGAACAAGGGAGAGGGAGTTCAGAGGAAAACCCATGCCCACCCCCTCTTCCTCCTAGGGCACGCAGGGAGGAACGAAGAAGAGAGCAACGTGGGTTGCATGGCTTATGAGGGAGGAAAGGGCCCAGATTCCCTTCATTAGCTGCAGCTGGGAAAACAGTGTTTAAAAAGGCAAGCTGGAAGCAAACCGTGAGTTATCTTTGTTTGTCGAGGCTTATCTGGGTTCCCGGAGTTTTCCCAACTGTGTGTGTTTTGTTGGCCTTTCAAGTCTGCAATTCCTTATCCTGCCCTGTCCAGTTAATTGCTGCAGAGTGGTTTGTGTGGATTTTTATTTATAGTTTATTTGTACTTTGTTTTCGGACTGAATTTCCTCTACTTAAAGACTGTTCTTGGGAGAGTTTTTTCTCCAGCCGAAGGTAACTGGACACTGGGGGCAAAGTTGGAGGTATTAAAGGGACTTTTCTTACTTATGTGACTGTGTTGCCTTTGTGCCACGCCCCTTTGGGTCATCACACTACCTGTATATTTCTTGCACTGACCTTGGCTACATCCAAACCTTCCAAGGGAACTAAATGTAGCTTTTCATCCCCGAGAAGTGATCTGGCTAAGCATAAGAAAAGAGAAAAAAAAACAGCTTTGAAAGCAGGCTGGTGCTACCAATTGTATTTTTCCACAGAACGAAAGCAATCTCTCTCAGAGTGTCACCAATCAAATCATATAATTGTCAGAGAGGCTGCCAGCTATGGATCAAGATTGTCAATGCACATCATTTTCAGAAAGAAGATATTTCATTCTCTTCCCTTTATTATTGGCAAACCTTGAAAAGGATTTGGAATCAGAAGTGGCTGTTCATTATCTCAA